GCATAAATGAAAACCTGCCCCCAAAACGGGGAGCTTTTGCTCTGCTACGTGGGCGTGTGCTACGCTCCACTGCGAATGCGAAAACAAAAGTTATACAAAACGAAAAACAAAAATGTAGAAAATGCGCTAGAGTTACAAAAGCAAAGAAATGCATGAAAATTTAGTCGATAAAGTTCAGAAATTATTATAATCTTGAATAAATAATATGTGATCTATACAGAAGATGGAGAATAGACGCTGAGAAGACAGATTTAAACTCCAAACATTTTATCTTCTGGTCAAAAATATGTAGGAAATCTATAATATTAGATAGTTTTTTAGTATTGCTGAGGATTAGTATTTATGTATGAGTATGATTTCAATAGAAATAGTTTTGACTGCAATCATGCAACATTTAATAATGTGACAGAAAGTGCATGAAATATAAATGCCTAATGCTAAATTTAAGCGGAAGTAACATGTTTTTCTTATGCATTTCCTTCCTATAGCTTCCTCTCTTACAGTCTCGTCTCGTCTTGTCTCTTTCTCCCATATATATAATTTACTCTTTTCTTTTAGTGTAGTTTCAGTAGTTTTACAATATATATATATTTTTTTTTAAGTGTCGATTTAACACGGAGAATTGCTAAGACTATTTGATTTTCAGCATTGTAAACATTAAATTTTTCCCATCTGTTGATCCAATTGGAATACTTTCGATCGGCCCAAGTGTAAACAGTGACAATGACTACTTATTAATATTCCTACATATGCTCAAAATGCTAATTAGACTTTGTACGCACAGCTGTTTGTTTTTGAATTAATGTTCTTATTGGACTATAGGGCATGCGTAGTACAGTGAATATACAATAAACAGAAGAAAGAGACGGACTGGAGCTGGCATTGGGCTCTAAAAATAACATCAAAGTGCATTGCAGTGCACGCAAAGCGAGGCACGAAAGGATTTACGAGCTTGATCGAAAACAGCCCTTTGCTCCCAAAAAAGCAACGAAACGGCATGCAGCAGTAACAACAAATACTACAACAACAATAATAATGATGACGATGAGTGGCACTTTGGTGGGACTGGCAAAGGCCAGGAAATGCCAGGCAACGACGGGAACGACAACGACGAAGTCGAAGTAAAAGTAAAGAAAATTATAAAAAGAGACTGAAAGAAGAAGCAGACGAAGATACGAAGCAGCTAATAATAGACAGAATGCATCGAGTGCAAACGCAAAGGCAAAGCCCAAGGAAAATAACACAGTCACAAAAAGCTGGCGACACAACGCCTGCGACACGGCACTTCTGTTAATTGTATGTTAAAGCGCTGTTAGCTGTTTAACACTGTCAAATGTCGATGAGTTATTATTGAATTATTAATTCAATTTAAACGCATTTAACGGCTGTTAATTGATTGTTAAAGAGCCAAGACAAGTTTACATCTTGTTGCTCTATTACTACATATAGTGTAATGTTTTGTGGGAAGTTAAGAATGGAGAACTTAAAAGACTTGAAAACTTTTGCATTTGCTTCTTCTTTAAGAGAAGTTATGGTATTAGATAGGTTTCGATAGGTTTAGCTTAGATGTTTATAGTAACCTTTGATTAGCTTTGATTGATAAGTTCAGTTCGGGAAAATAAAAAATATAGATAGTATATTTAACAATTTAACATAGATAAAATCATATGTGTTTCAAAATGTTTATTAGCATTCTAGAACACTTTAAGGGACCATCTGAAGGAAAATATTTTACTGCTGTTTTTCTATTTATTAAGATACCTATTACAAGTAGCATAATATTTATATATATTAGCATAATTGTAAGCGAATGGGAAAGCTGCGAAGCCAACACAAAGTCAACTACACACGAGTCACCTGTTTGCCGTGTGTCCACACACACACACACACCACACTCGCACACACAGAAATATCATCATCTAGTGGCTGTGCGTGTGGCGTCCATTAGCCATGTGAAAAGTTCATTTGCCTCGTCTCATAATTTGCCGCTTGCATGTTGCAAGTAAACAGCAAAAAGCTGAGTCCAGTCCAACGGCCATTGACGCCTCCTCCCGCCTGCCACCTTCCGTCCAGGCTACTCACATTACCAAAGTAAAAGACGGCGACAGGGAGAGACAGATACAGAAAGAGAGAAAGAGAAAGAGGGAGCGAGAGAGAGAGAGTGAGTGATAAGCACTTCGTACACTCAAGGAGTTTTTCAACTCACTTCGAGTCTATTTTGAGACATGGCGACGCGTCGAAAGACAGCGACTCCTCCTCCGCCTTCTGCTCTTTCCGCTCCCTTCGCGTTCTTCTGCATTTTCATCATAGCTCATTCCCACACCCAATGCTCACTCAACTATTTGCAATTGACAGCTCCACTGAAGCAGCAGCAACAGCAGTCGTCGTCGCTGCTTTCCCAGCGGTATCCAAAATTCAATATCCATTTGTATATCTTCCTATTTCTCTATTGCCTCTAAAAAGTATCTAATTACAGCGTCTCGTATAACTCTTGACTCTTACTTTAGTAGAATTCCTATCACTGTGCCAACGGCAACGCCTACAACTGTTAAACTAACCGACGCACAGTGTAATGAAATGTTTCTTAAAACAGATATTTAGCAGAAAAAGTTATGTGAATACAAATTCGGTATCTTATATTCGGTTGCAAATGAATTGGCTGGTTCGTATTATCCATCATTTTTACGACACATGAATAATTAGTTAGAACTTTTAGTTCATCAACAGCTGATCAACTCACACTTGCATAATTTCGTGACATTTTCTTATAACAAAAAAATATCTGTTAAAAAATATTGTGTTGTCTGGCAGTTTTCGCGCCTCTGGTCCACTGTGTCTTGTTGTCAATTGCCAACAATTTAAGCTGTTACCTTGTCGCATTTGACTGCCTGCCTCTGTCTGTTTTTGATTTGCGTGTGTGAGTGTATGTGTGATTTGTTTTTGAATTCGCGGCTGCCATTCGGTCTGTCGCATTCGACCTGGTCGCGACTGCGGTTGCTGCCTTGTAATCTGTATACCAGACACACAATTTTACGATGTAATTTTGTAACTGCAACAACAACAATGACAACAACAATGACAGCGGCAGCAGCATTAACAACAACATCAAATATTGCATCTTCTATGTGCAATTTACTTGAATCATTTTTTCGTGTGGGAAAACGTAGGTTAGTTTCTGGCTCAGCGCTGAACTTTAAGCTGCAAAGGCTAGTATGCCGTTCACGTAGAAGGCGGCCAAAAAGCTTGTTTGCTGATAAATTTGCCTTGTGGGTTATTCGATGCCACAATATATACACAGTCACATATATATATATACCTACGCTCTAATTTGCGAGCAAGCGTTGTGGTTAGTATTTCATTTATTGATATATAAATATGAATATACAAATAAACATACATATATATAAATATAGAAATATATATATAGATGTAAATACATATATATTGCATATTTAATTGCATGGAATTTCTTATAGGGTTTTATCAGACTTGTAGCTGCAACTAAATACCAGATAAACTTTATATATTGTTTTCATTTTTACGCGATAACGATCCGAACAAAGGTTTGCTTTTATTTTCTTTTGCTAACTGCATACTGAGCTTCTAGCAAAATTGCAATCTGTGACTCAATGCAGTCGCAAAACAAATGAAGCGGGTGGCTTATCAGTTGAATGCTTGTAATGCTCATCATAAAAATGATTTAATCCCATAAATAAATAATTATAATTGCAAACAAATTGCAGTGCAACAACAACAAATGAAGCAAATAATCGAAGAAAGAAAAAGTTCTTAAATTGGAAATACTTTGAAGAACAATCTGGAGTTTTCAATTGGCTTACGTGCATATTGAATTTAAGTATTTAAGTATTGAATACGCTTAACGTTTTATGAGTTGGCAGATGTGGACTGATCTTATTAGAATAGTTGTTCACGTAAAATATAAACATACATTGTCCAATTGGAGAACGTACTAATTTTTATTTTACTGAAATGCTTTAAATTTCTTGCATTTGTAGGGCTTTCGCATTGTCTTATGCGTTATGAGCGACAGGGTTAGAATAATTTCTTATTTCCCAATCAGATTATGACAATTGCACGCTGATTAGCTCGCTAAAAAGCTTAGACAGCGCCCTATCTACCCCCCATTGTGGTAGGGCAGCAACAGGAACATAAAAAAGCTATTAAGAGAAGCATACACACGCACACACACACACACACGGAAAAAAGGGAAATGTTACAACTTGCCAAAGCAAACAACGGAATAGGGGAAACCCAAATAAAGAGGAAGGATGGCAAATAAAATGCGTGAGTAAGGAAAAACGCAGGAAATGCCTGTCGACTAGTTTCTATGTCGGGGTGGTTGGGGAGTTGTTGGCTGCCGCTGCTGCTGCTGCTCTTTCAACCACTGCCGAGCAGCAGTATGGTGTGGGTGTGAGGGACATATTAAAAGGAGCAGCAACAGTGGCGGCGGCGGAGGCGGCAACACCAGCAGTCGAAACCGCCCTCAAAAAAATTTCAAATTCGTCTCATTTCTTCGACGCGTGGCTCGGATTCTGTTTACGCTTGTAAACAAAAGCGAGCAGCAGCAGCAGCAGCAGCAACTACAACAACAGCAAGTTAAACTATGGCCAATGCCGGCAACAACAGTTACAACAACAACAGAAGCGCACATTCCGCTCTGTGAATAAAACGGAAGCAATGAATAGTAGAAATTGGCTCAATTGGAGAGAGCAGCCGCCCACAGAGTGCAGAAGAAACAAGCGAAAGGCAAAGAGAGCCAGAAGGAGAGAGAGTATGTATGAACGAATGATTAAGAATGAGAGTGAGAGAGAGCGCGAGAGTGAGAGCTGTCAAATGTAAAGGCTATGGATATGTTAGTGTATACACACTGTAAGTGCATTCATATGTATGTATTAATGCATTTGTACAACACAGTTGTATGAATGTGTTAGAGTATTTGTATGTAACACACATACACATACAGGCATGATGTTACTTACCATTGTGCTCGGTGAATATGTTTAAGCCGACGCTGGGATTGCAGCGATTATCCTTGTGGTTCGCATTCGAAACGCCGCCACCGCCGCCACTACGATGCGCCGAGGAGCCACTCGAATTGATGCTACCATGTCCTGAAGATTGATGTGATTTCATGCGAGAATTGCGCAAAGTGGAGTTGGAGCTAAGGCCGGCAACGGAGGTGCTGCTGTTGCCGCCGCTGATGCAATGCGGCGAACCGGATGCAACGGGACTGCTACTAGCACCGACACCGATGCAGCTAACGGTACCGCCCCCGCCCCCGCCGCTCGAATGGGAGCCGCGCTCCTTGCCCTGCTGTGCGCCCATCCTTCCAATCACATGCACCCCAAATTATGCACTATTATCTACTTTCTTTTAAAATTTTTTTTCACAATTTCGTTTTAGCTGCAGCTGCAATAATTTTTTATATATTTTTATATTTTTTATCGCATTTGCACTTGCTATTTTTTTAATTTGCTGCTCTACACATTTTCTTTCGTACGCCGTCGTCTCTTTTCTTTCTTTTACGAGATGCGCTCTCCACACACACAAACGCACACACATATACACGCACACGCACTCGTATTGCTACTCCAATTTGCAAATTGAGAGTAGACAAAATTCAAGGATGTTGCGAAATTACCAATCAGATTTTTTTTTTATCTTTTTGTGTGTGTGTGTGGGGGACAACAATTAATATTTGTTTCTCTTCTATGTTGTTTCATTTGTTGAGTGCGCCAGTGCTTTCAGGGGGTAGATGGAATAGAGGGAGTCTGGCTAGGGCTTACAAACACGCCCTAAAATGCACTTTGTCTGGCCGTCTTACGTCTTTCGCAGTGCTGCTGCGTCTGCGTCTCACATATTTTGCATTAACAGCACCATAAATTGAAATTGCAGTTAGTTTCTTATTTCTTTGTAGCTGTGTGTAAGTGCAGCTTTGAAGTTATCTATATCTTTGCATTTTTCCAATTACACTACACACACACACACACACGCACAGAAAAATTAACCACCCGCACGACACGGCTTACCCGACTGACTTAAGTAAAATTTTCAAGACGACTACCACGCAGTGTGACCGCACCTAACTAACACACAAATAACACAAGCTGATGATGGTGCGCGCAGCCAACTTAGCGTTCGCTCCGAATAGCGTGCAGCCAACATCAAGTGAGTAGAAAAATAGCGCACAGCCTACTTCACGTGAATCAAAAATATGTTCAATTTCAGCCTATCGAACTAGTTCAGCTCTCAAACAACTATACGACTCTTCGAGTCACACCGTACAGATATTTCACACACATATATAGATAGTTCTGGAATTTCTAGTTTTAATTACAAAATAGTCACTATATATATTCATATTAAGTAAAGCATTAATAACAAAGCAGTCAAATGTAAGTTATTTGTCATTCACGTAAATGTGCCGCTCACTTTTTGCTACACGTTCAATGTTTATTTCATATTTACGCCATACAAAAATAAAAAGATGTCGGACTGGGATACGGTAACTGTTTTAAGGAAAAAGGCCCCAAAGTCTAGCCAACTGAAGACCGAATCAGCTGTTAATCAGGCACGCCGCCAAGGTGTTGCCGTTGATACGCAGCAAAAATGTGAGTAAAAGTAAACCATGGCGAAGGTAACCCAACTTCTAACCGCTGAGGTCGGTTGTCTGTGCTGTCTTATTTTTTTTTTGACAGGGCCGGTGGGTGGGAACTGTAGCAATCCATGTGAATGGCGTGGCATTTGTTGTTTTAAGCGTTTTAAAAGTGTCTTATTTGGCATGTGTGTGTATATATATGTGTATATTTATACATGTATTTGTTGAATTTCGCCACATTTTTGCATTTTTAAACTTTTGAAAGCTTTGCGACTCCTCAATTAAATGATAGCCGGCCATTTTAGCCACAGTCTGGCGCTGACCTACAAACGAAATACAGTGAAAACTTTAAATAACGAAAAGCGATTGGCCAAATTTTGAGCATTTGCAGTCTACATTATTGGAATACTAAGATTTTTATTCAAATTATAAAATTTGTTATTTATATTTGATTGTGGAGTTTATTTGCTTTTTTTGTTGACAACTAAAATCTGTCAGCCGGATCGGATTTCTAATCAGTTTCTGCTCATCTTGGCTTCGTACTAATTTGAAAGAAGACTGTGCTAATTCAGTTTCTGAATATATTATAAATTTATTTTTGAGTAAAAATATAAAATGCTTGCTTGCCAGCGTGGGTTCACTGTATTAAATTCGGGTATAAATAGGTCTAATTAGAATGTATGTTTTCTTCAATTGGATTTCAGCTAATATAGATAAATGTCTCCACTACTAATTCGGTTTATGAACCAGCTCTTACACATATCTCAAATGTAGTTTGGAAAGAGCTGCCTCTCAAGGCATCTTCACTGTTATTGATTGGTCTAATTAGAACGCGTTTATACTTTCTACTAGATGGTGCTGGCACCAACAAGCAGCATGTGACTACTAAGAACACTGCCAAGCTGGATCGTGAGACTGAAGAATTGCGGCATGACAAGATACCGTTAGATGTTGGCAAAATAATTCAACAAGGACGCCAAGGCAAGGGTATGAGCCAAAAGGACTTGGCCACGGTAAAGATAAATTTAAAGAAATTTCAAAATAAAAAATAAATAAGTTTTACATATTTGATTTAGAAAATCTGCGAGAAACAGCAGGTGGTTACGGATTATGAAGCTGGTCGTGGCATTCCCAACAATTTGATACTTGGCAAAATGGAACGTGTGCTTGGCATAAAATTACGTGGCAAGGAGCGCGGCCAACCAATAGCGCCTCCCGGTAAAAAGTGAGATGATGCTGCCGCGTCTACTATACACGTTGCTTCCACTATTAATAACAACAAAAGCAGCAGCAGCAGCAGCAGCACCAACAGCAGCAGCAGCAGCAAAGTTCCAAGGCACCAACACCAATTGGACTCTGGAGGCTGGAGCACTGTGTGCAGTCGACGCAAATGAAGCAAATATCGGGAGGCTGTTTATCAACAACAACAGCAGCAAAAGTAACACGAGGAGAGTGAACGAGTTAAGAAACCAATAACAGCAACAACAACAACCAATCCAAGCAAAGAACCATGAGCGCCAACAACACAAGTAACATTCACATCAAATTCTTAGCCAACATTTGCTTTTCATTTTTATACAATTTGATGACTAAAATTCAAAATTGTAATTCAATTAAAGCTAAAGAAAACGAAATAACATAAAGTAAACACGCATAGCTCAAGGGACAATGCGAAACGCAACAACAAACTACAAACTAAAAAAAGAAAAAAAATTATTAAATGTAGTCGCAAATAACTAGAAAAAAGTTGTGGTTAGTTTTTTTTTTATTATTTTGCTCATTTTTTGCATTGCTCTAAAACTTTTTTTATAACTTATTGTTTTTGTTTATACTTAATACTGTTTATATGCATTAAAAAAGAAGCATTGAATTATACACTTGAAGAAAAAAAAAAAGAAGCCAAAAGACATTCTTTTCATTTGAATTATTCCAACTGGAACTTTGGTTGGACTCAACTTGCGGTTGTTTTCTCATATAAGAATAATATATATACTAATATGCATGCATCATAAAATACTTACATATATGCCATATGTAGTGTATGTGTAATACTTTAGAGCTTAGCCGGATCTTTTTGTAATCTATCATATATTACTAATAATTATAATAATGTCTAGGTTCTAGGGTCTTCAAATGTGCGTTTACTTAGATACAGTTACACACACAAACACACTCACAGAGACACAAACACACACACACACTCACGCAAAAGATACTTATTAAGTATTTTAGCAAAACATTTTCTAGTCTAGTATTACAAAATTTTACCGATATTTTAATTATCGTAACATTTTTGGAGAATTACATTTTCTCTATAAAGAAAAAGACAAAAGATTAATATTATAAATATATGTATACATCAATGTAGTAGTAAAACATTTTTCCACAAGAAATAAATGTTTTTCCCCCTTAAGCATTTTGCTTTGTCATTAGTTAGTAAATTGGGTTTAGGTGAGGTTCAAATTTAGATTTGAACCTAGATCAACTGAAATTTAAAAATTATTTACGGTATACTGGAATACTGCCAATGTCAATATGACACGTAAACAAAAATTATTTTATAGTTAAATATTAAAAAAATTTCTATCCATTGCTCCTATTGGAATTGCAAGAGAAAGGGATCCCACAAAACTTAGTCTTAGCAAACTAAGATTAAGTTTTGTGGGATCCCTTTCTCTTTCAATTCCAATAGGAGCAATGGATAGAAATGTGTAAATCCGATCGGAATAACTGTAGCAACTGTTGTGCTGTTATACAAGATGTTTTGACATACATCGGATTCATGTTAAAATTCCAATTGGAGTAGTTTTAGCAACTTGTCATTCCTTACCCTTTTGCTGTTATACAACTCCTTACCTCTGATATATAACAGAGCCAGAATACAATCTGAAATAAATATGAAATGAGACACAGTTGTTATTTCCTTTTCCTTTTGTTACGTTTTATTTATCCGTTTTCTAAGCTTTTTTCCTTTTTGTTGTTTACTAAATTTTTACCCGACAAAAAATTCCGTTTGTTTTAGAATTTTGTGTTCACATTTTTTTTGTTTTTTTGTTTGGTTTTTTTTGTTTGTTTCTTATGACTGTCTTTTAGGAACGCATGCGAATTCCTGTTTGCTTCCGCTTTCTCTTCTTTTCTCTCTCTTTTTCTACGTCTCTTGTTGTCTGCTTCGTATATACTAAATTAACTTTTCAAGTAGGACTTTTTGCTTGTTTTTGTGTTTTTTTTTTTATCGTTTTTCTTACAAATATAGATATATAATTTAAACATTTGCTTTTTTTCATTGTTACGTTCTTCTTTGCCGTTAGAAACTTTTTTTGATCTGGTTCATTACAAATTTTTTCAAAAATTAATAAATCGAAACTAAATGCATGCCCCTGCCACTTTTTTTGTTATTTCGTTTTTTTTCTTTATCAAAAATTAGTTATTGAATATAGTTTATGTTTTCTTCATTTTCTTATTTTTTGTTTTAACAATTTGCGCAATTTGAATACTAACCTAAAAAAATTGAATTATTTTTGTGGACTTTCGATTTCTTTGACCAGAATATCGAATAGAACAGAACAGTTAGAATTATATATGAATATAGAGTTAGTTTTATATAGATAGGTATTTGTAGGATCTGAACATCATTTGTGAATGTGAATGTAAAATATGAACTTTAATTATTATTTTATTCTCTTCTTTTTTACAGTAAGAAATCAAAATGAAAAATGGAAAACTATTCTTGATGTTTAGGACACAAACTTTAGGCTTAAACTGCACACGGCTCGGGGCTGAATTTACAGATATAGTAGATATATATATATATATATATATATATATATATATATATATATAGCTGATTCTTCTTTATGGGCTGGCAAAAATTCTTCCATTTCATCGCTACCTTTTTACAAAAAACACCTAACTGACTTGACTTGGCTTCAAATTTTCAATTTCATTATGTACATGACATTATATAAATATATATATGTGGAGAATTATACATATATATAGATGGGTATGTGTGTGAAAGCCAGTTTTGCCTGGTAAAACTCTAAACTTATAATTAAAATTGATCAAACGCCCCTCGTATGTGCGCCAGCGTATAGGTGTGTGTGTATGTGTTGAGTTTCGCCTGATTTAAAACTAAAAAAACAACTTTTACATCCCGCTAATGCATAAATAAAATGTCCTTAGCCGATTGTTTTCAGAGGGAAGAGGGGCGGATGGTACACGATAGTTAGGCTCTACTGTGCCTTCGCTTTGCGCATATATGCTGCTTGAGCGTCTTCGCCCACATATTTGTTAGACATAACGTTCGCATCGGATGTGGATATGGGACTCGACAATTTGGCCGTATTCTGTGCGACCAGCGAGGCAGCCATGCGACGACTCTTGTGGCCACCTGGCGACAGGTAAGCCTTGTAGAAGAAGCGTGCGAACAGCACAAAGTAGCTGAAGTACATGGCAATCGATAGATTGATATTGCGCTGTGATATATTGCACGATTGTGTGCCGTGCGTCTTCAAGAATCCATTCGCCCACACGTTGATCGCACAGCCGATGATCATTTGTGTCAGCTGCAGTGACGTAATGATCATTGAGATGAAACGTGGGGGATTGAAGCGAGCCGCCTTCAGCGCATAGTAGCTGTACATCACGGAATGCACGCAGTAGTTCATCACTATGAACCAACGGGCGGAACTAGTGTACTCGGTGTAGCTGAACCACGAGTAGATCAGCACAGTGATGTGATGATACCAGTGCAGGAAGATCAAGGGTTGCTTACGCAATACGATGAATATCGTATCGCCCAACTCCGGCAGTTTGCTCAGCACAAATAACCAGGTCCAGAAGCCGCACACACGATCTTGCTCAATATAACTGCAGGAGCGTAGGGGAGAGTGGGAGAGAGAGAGCGCATAATTAGTCTCTAATGCTTATAGCTTGCAATGATATTCAAATACTTTACCTGGGCACACAGACTGAATGGAATAGTCCATAATGGCGTAGAACGTGCAGCAGCTCAGGCGCAGTGCGTGCAGCACCCATTATGCTGAACATGGCTAAGAGAGTGTTCCATATGATTAACGGGCCACGTAGTTGAAATCTGAAAATAAAAGGCCGAGCGAGTGAGATGCAAAGTTAAATCAGAGCTACAATCAGTTTAAGTCACGTTTCTTTCATTCATAAATTCTGAGCTTTGTAAAATATGAATTAGTTCATATAATTCTAAAACATTCTTGACTTGGACCGTTGACGTCAACTCCAACTCTTGACTACCTCTCGTCATAGCTTTTCGTGTGACTTTGACTGATCATGAATATGCAAATATTGCATTGCAATAAGCAAAGATCAACAAACTTTGAAGTTGAGTTTCAGTTAAGTTAGTAAATAGGGCGGGGCTGCTGTCACTGTGGGAGCAAACAACAATAGCAACAGCAACAACAATAATCATTTGTCATTCATACAGAATCGCATTTAGTATTTATGAAGTGTTTATCATTTAGCTACTTAGTTGGCCTGAAGATCAAACTTAATTTACGCGACACGCGTTCACTCCTTGGCCCCACTAATAAAACATATATGCGTATAAATACATACATACATACATATATATATATATATATATATATATATATATATATATATATATATATATGCATATATATGTGTTATCTGGCTAATCATTTAAGGTTAACACGAAGTCAAAGCATTTTGATTTCAATTATCAGATCTCTCAGCATTTGTGAATCGACAAACAAGAAAATCTATTTAAATGGCGCGATCGGCACGACATTTACGATCATTTTATATATATACTATATATAGTATATATACCCTTCAAGAAGGACAAAATGCTTAGTTACGCAGAGTCTTTAGAAAGCATAAATATTCTCCATAGAAACATGAACTGATCTTCTTTGATGATTGCCTAACTGACCAAGAAGCTGAGATTGCTCATGTTTAGGCTAAACATTATTAAGCGGTGCATTGATTAGATGTTTGCTGTATCATATGCCAGTATTACCTGATCATTTATAATTCGAAAGTGTTCTGATTGATCAACGATTAGGTATTAAGACTAAGAACTTTGCATTAAGCTGAAACACTTCACATTTCATTTAATCATTGATTCTTGACTATATTATTTTATAATAATCTCAAGTTCTAAAGATAGATATATTATACAGATCTTCATCAATAATTAATTTTGATTAGTGTTTAATCCCGGAAGATTGTAAATATATATATATATATATATATATATATATATATATATAAATTATAAAATTATAAAAATTATAATAAAAATATATGCAATATATCAATTTCCTATATGCATGTTGAACGATCGTTCAACTCTCATATAGGAAATTGATATATTGCATATATTTTTATTATAATTTTTCACCTCTGGTATATATATTCATTATATAGCTAAAACATGTGCTAAAAAGTTCCCAAAGTTAATAATTTGTTTTTGATTATATTTAATGAAGTTTTTTTCATCGCAAGATTCCCCAGAGCTCCGAACATGTTTCGCATGTTTAATGAGCGTTAAACAGTATATATATATTGATATATATATATAAAGCGATCTCTGTTTATTGTTGAGTAGCCCGTAAATTCGTCAACATGGAAAGAGCATGACTCAAGGGCGTGCCGGGTCTGAGTTAAAAGCCGGCCAACAGTAAGTACATACATATGTGTAAATATATATATATGTTATATATAGTAAAAAGAAACTAAATAATCAGTCAACGACTTAGTCAGCAAGCTAATCTATCAATAGTATTTCTATTGATCGCCAAATGCAATTAAAATACAATTCAAATAATATTTTGTTACGCTCTCTCAAAAAAGGGAAAAACTTTTTGTCTGCCACAAATCTTATCGCTCGTATTACTCATAAAAATCACTTATAATACCAGGCAAACCAAAAACAAATATATTGATAATGATTTATCGTAGCTGTGGAGACGGAGGAGCTGGACGGAATGTGGCGTGTTCTTTTCATTACGCGTAATTTTACACACATTTTTAGACACGCAGAGCTTAATGGGTCAAGCAATATTAACTAAACAAGAAAAAACTTAAATTTCAATAATGAATCCAATCTCTAATTCTAAGTGAAAATGTTAGCGGTTGCTGGATATACGTAATATTTATCAGTTGTATAAGTATGTGCCATAAATGTGACATATATCAAGTGTATTTCCTTAGAGCTCATACATCAATAAGCTTTCTAGTTAATTTCCACAAGTGTGAAACTTGTTTATAGGCAAAAGTTTTTGAGTCCAAAGTTTTTAGGTATGCGTATGACTAACTTTGCTATATTTGAAGCTTTAAATTCAATCTATAGGAAATGGTGACGTATTCTTGAATTTTTTTGGAATTACTCAACACTAATACAAAATTGTAAGTACTACAAAATCAGTAGTTCAAACAAAGCTGGATTTAGACTAATCAACAAACAAGTTGAGGGATTTGCATGCCAGGCGTTGTTGTCTGTATAATATATATCTATCATAGCTCTAAATTGTCACAGATAAGAAACACAATGGGCAATTAAGCTGCGTGTGCTGCTGCTAAGATTGCCACATCTACTCGCCGCTCTATTAATTTACAGCTATGCTGTAGCAAACCATATCTAGATTCTGGAACAATTCAGTAAAAAGCCACAAATTTGATTCGTTTTAGTTAAACAAATCAAGCAATGGCAATTTCTCGCAACGGCAACGCTCAGCGATGCTGCAGTTGGGAATTTCAACACTTTTGCTACCCCTAAAATTCCCAAAAGGTTTAGGCTGCACGTTCATGACTCGCGCTATGGCCGCATTGTTCCAGTCGTGCCAAAACATAATGAGTAAGGAAAACCAATAGGCCTTGCTAATCGCTTGGCAGCTTGGCTTCTCGGCAGAGGGGACTGTAAATGTCCCTTTGAAGCTCAATTTTTGATAGGGCACAGGTCGTCCCCGTGTTTGAGTGCGCGGTGTGGCGGACCGGCGCCTACTTTGTGTCCGGTTTGCTGCGCTCGCATTTTGGGTGTAGCGATCTGCCCGATTAGTGATACTTGCTGGGGTGGAGGGAAGAGGTGACCGCCCAAATTCCAATGTCAGTTTTCACTTCGCAAAAATTGCATAAGCAATGGCAGTTGCTTGCGTGAGAGTGAGAGAAATTTAGTTAGCGGCGTAGTCTGTTCGCTGCTCTCTCTCCCCTCCTTGACAATGAGCGAAACCAGATTTTGCAATGCGCTGGACTTTTTAGGAATTATGCAAGCTGCACAAACTGTAAACAAAGAGAGAGAGAGAGTGGCAGCACACACACACACACAGAAAGAGAGAGTGGCAGCACACACACACACACACAGAGAGAGTGACACAGTGTAAGAGAGAGCAGCCGAGAGACGACTTAAAATGAGGCAAACGTAATCAAATGTTTGTTACAGTTGACTATTGTTTGCTTTTTTCGGACTTGATTTATGCAGACATGCTGATACACATTCAAGTAGGTATGCGTGCGCGCGCGTGTGTGTGTATGTGTGTATGTATGTATGTTTATATATGAAATATGTATGTATTTCTTTATGGCTGATTTGCAGTTTTGTTGTTGCTGTTTTCGTTTTGCCTTTTGGGCCACCAATTCGCAACATTGTCTCGCAGCAGTTGACGGCAATTCAATTTTTGTGTTTCTCTCATTTTAATTTGGCCAACATTTTGTTGTTGCATTGCAACATTTGTTTTTGCGGTTTCCCTGTTTTAGTTACTGTCAACTTAATTTTATTTTAATTTATTTATGCATAATTATTATGCACGTCTTTAATAGTTGACCTATTGACCAATATTATTGCTGCACTTGCGTAATCTTGTCAGGGTCAGAGCTAAAGCTAACCCCAATTGCAACTTTAAATGAATGAATTTAATATGTTTTGATAAACCCTTCCACAAAGATAATTTAAAGCTTATGATTAATTAACAGGTGCGATGAGTGTGTGTGCTTCAGATTCAAAATTCCTATTAGAAAAAAACTGTCTAGACTAATATCACATATTAGAAGCCTTATCTTATCCTAAAGTTGCCAAACTCATAATAGTATGTAAAGAGAGAGTGTGAGGGAGAAAGAGAACGTAACAGATTGTTTAAGTGTTATAAAGGTCAGCAATGCGCAAATTTTTGGAGAATGACAGCAATGCGAGCGAACAGGTGCAGCTGTAGTAATTAAAAAGGTAAACAACATAAATTGATGTCGAAAGTAAAAGCGTAAATGTGGCATGATCAACACAGATGCTGCTGCACATGCAGAGAGCGAGAGAGTCGGAGACAGAGCTGATCTTAGCTGAGCTTTTGATGCAGCCGCGGAAAGGCAGAATTGAATTTCTGCTTTGATTACATTCCTGGTAGTTGTTTTTGTTGTTACGTAGGCTTTCATAAATATTTAAATGACACACTTTAGTAACACGCTCTCTCTCACACTCACTCTTTCTCTCTTCTACCACCGAGACTTGTCACAGCTAACGGTTTATTTCTTGTGGCAACCTTTAAAGTTTCACTTTTACATACGGCATCAAAATTTATTGCTGTTTGCGCTCAATAAAAGCCTAATATACATATGTATCTATCTGTCTATGTATGTTGTATACATATAACTGTTGTAGTGACTGTTGCCACTTGTAATTGCAATGCTTGCCGTAATTATTTTTGCCGACACGCCCACTCGACACGTCATTTCCATATACGGCATTAATTAATATTTTAAATATAATATCCTCTTCTTTCACGCGCCAGGACACTGTGCGCCGAAGGGGGAAATTTAGGTGATTGCGTGCTGGAACCACATAAAGGGACATTTTTTCATTTATTGTTTGCCTATGTAGGGTTAAATTGAGGCCGGGGTATTTATAGGGCAGGCGTGCGTACTGCTCTGTAATTTTCACACACAAACACGCATACTCACACACACTTACAGTTATTGTTTGGTTTTTATGTGGGCTGGTACGAAAATAAACTAATTTTCTACAGTGGCCTACTCCCACTTACTCGGTTTTTAAATAAAATAAAATACATTTCTGATTCTAAAACAAAAAGTTGTACTTTATTGCTTTTTTTTCGAGTATAAGTCTGTATAATTAAGCATATTCATATTTTGCCTAGTTTAACGGTTATTATTGGAAACACCTAAGCAATTTACTTGAATTAGTTTTTGGCAAATGAACCGAAAGCACCCAATTCTCACACTTGACAATGCAATTTCACAAAAAAGCCAACACAATAATTGTTTTTCCTCAATTCATTATAATAAAGGAACTCATTGTTATTCAACTGGAATTATCAGAGTTGAAAACTAATGCCAAATATTTGTTTCCCAACTTAGCTGAAATATTACCTCTATGACATATGCTTAATACTTGTACCTTATATGGCTATAAAGCTAGAACTTTAGCTTCTCTCTTTCCCTCTCTGTGTGTGACGATTCACGCCCACACACCCACACGTGGACAGACTGTAGATTCTGTAGCCTCACCATTTCATATACGAAGAGCACACGCAACACGCGCCGAGGCCGAACTACACTGAGCAACAAAATATTTGCACACATTAGATTTTGTTTTGTTATTCCTCTTAATTATGTGTGCACAATTATATGTTTATTTTGTTTTGCATTTCATGTTGGCCAGTGTAAACATGTAGCAATGCTGCCTTGTGGTAATTGAATGTCCTGCGCCCCTCTTCGGCACTTGCCACGTTGCCAAGCAGCCAGGGACACGCCCACTTGTGACATGTTTCTCAGTTGAATTCGAATTTACAACTAACTATATGTATATATATGTATGTATGTATGTATGTATGTATGTATGTGTGTGTGTGTGTGTGTGTGTGTGTGTGTGTGTGTGTGTGTGTGTGTGTGTGTAATTTGAATGGTCATGTGTGCTGCACTCGCATTTGGGTAAAAACATGGGCCACATTTAAATGACTTTGAATTGAGGCTCCAAGTGGAAAACGACTATGCCAAATGTATGTAAATACACAGTGTACACTCGCTAAAAAGGAAACTAACTTTTTGAAATATATCAAACCTTCTACGTTTAGTGTCGAGCACCGGTATATAGACAATCTGAAGAGAACGCAAACTATATGTAAACACATTTACACTTTTGCTGAAAGCCACAGAGTTAAAAGTTGCGTAAACAAGCCCTTCTAGGCGATTCTCATTCCAAGAAGAAGTATGCCTAACGAGTGCGCACTGTACCATTTACCGTTTTTTTTGAGTGTGCAACCGGTGATCGAATTACTATATAGTTTGCCCCTATCGTGAATCATGGTACATGATATCATAAACAATTACGACAGTCAGCGTGTTGGACTCTCTTTATTTGTCGGTTTCTGTGGCCCCAACATTGTGCTGAATTCGTTTGATAAGCGCGTACCACATGGCGAGAACATGAACTGATAACAGACCCATATGAATATATATATATATATATATATATATATATATATATATATATATATATATATATATATATACTGCATAAAGTATATATATAATATATATTTGAGCTAATTGCAATAGAAATCACAGAGCGCAAAAAATTCGCAGTTTGAGGGCAACTCAAAGATCGTTGGTTAAAGTTGGCAGATAAAATTATATATCTAAAGATGATCTCAGATCGCGCAATTTATAAAGCGTGTTAAATGCACATTTCATTATTTTTGTGTAAAGCCCATTTGACTGACGCAGATCAGCGATCCGTGCTGAACGCCGTACAAACATATCCCATTTACACCTTTCTGTACCAAGTCCAATATGTGTAAATATTGGAACAATATTTCAAGTGTAAAGCAAACCAAATAGGGAATAAATATACCTGTATGTGCATATAGCAGACTTATATATATATCTGTATTTATTTATATGGTCAACGTTTCAAATCTAGGCGTAAGCGTGTAAGCCAAGCCCCTAGGCGAAATCATCAGATTGGACAATCTCAAACAGAAAGAGAAGAGGAAAGAGAGAGAGAGAAAAGCGTAGGCATGTCTCAAGTGTGGGACACGCTTCATAATCATTATATAAGATTTCAGATTCCACTAAAAACATAGCAAGAGAATCGACGAGCTCATGTCTGCCGCTATATTTGTCGACTTTGCCTTGAAAATAATGTGTCGATCATAAGAGTCACAACATTTGCGATAAGAAACTGAATTTAATGGGGGCAAGTGGAATTGCAATTGTTTGAGGCCAACAAACAAAATTATTGAAAACTTTTCACATTCAAAAATATTTTGACATGTAAATTGGGGAATAAATTCACTTTGACTGGTGAAACAGAAGTGAAAAAGATATGATTATAGCAGACAAACTTATAGCAGAAATTAATTAAAATCATATTTTATTCCAGCTGAAAAAGAGCTGGACCTGGTTCATAGTTAGCGTTAAGCAAATACCGGTTTTATGTGAAAATGTGTAATATTGTATTTAAAGTGGTTGGATCCATATAACTCATACTAGTTTCTGGCCTATTCATCATTTCATTTTCCCATTTGGGAAAAGGCATAACTAATAGATGTGTTTAAATTTTCCGATTACGGAAACTCTACATCACAGATGTCTGCACTTGAAAGTAAAAACTTTCTTCTAGGTAATCATTACTCCAAAATAGTCAATGACTGTCTATATAGCGTGCGCCCTTAGTTGGGTCGGTTGGCATGTCGACCATCAATTCAAATAGTCAACGACAATTGACAATTCGTCAGTTCAAATTACATAATCGCAGTTGCAATTGCACTTTGGAAAATTTGGAAAAATTGCAACAATTTTTTGAGGTCAAATTAACGTGGAAAATTTGTTTGTTTATTGGCTGTGGGGTTATTCAGGAATTATAAAAGCCAAGTTTGTCTTGGCCGTAACATAACGTAACCCTATCTAGACCCTATAATTTACATTCATTAGCTTCGCCACAGGTGAAATTTCTAAATAAATGAGGGACCCCAATGGCAGGTGGAGATTAATTGCGAACACTTTACATGGCAATACAGGCGGGAGTCGAGCTAATAATAATTACGCTTAAGCAGCTGTACGAGATTTCTATTGAAATTCCACATTATAGCAGATATAACATGTATATATATGTATATAAAGCTGTATATGTAGGTGTATATAAAATTAACTTTAATTAGATTAGCTGATATTAAACCTAGTTGCCTCTGCATATATGATATTATATTATATTCCGAATAACCAGTTGAGTTGCTTCCATACGCCGAGAAGTTCTAATAGCAATGGAATTGTAAGTCTAAAAACAGTATGTAAATTGAAGTTCAAAATGAAGTTGTCCAGAGGTATATATATTTATACATCTCTTTCTCACAGATAAATACTATTACCGTGTTTGCTCTGGACAAAACTTAATTCTGACCTATCAGAAAGTCAAGCTTATCTCTCACTATCCAGACACACGTACAACTAACCAATCAATATTTGCATAATAAATGACTTCGGAATTCCACGAAAATGAAATCTTATTGAACACGCTGCGTCGCTCCAATAAGAAAATGAGGCACATGGGTTCAGGGTTTCTGGTAGACAGCCGGACATGTGTGTTTGGGTCGGACTTTGGCTCAATGTCAAAATCAGTTAACAATAAAAGAGCAAGAGAGATAGAGGGAGAGTGAGCGAAAGGGCAAATTATACAATGCATGCGAAATTCAAGAAGGCAAAATCAGCTACGGGGAAAGCTTTGTCAATGAACAGCTACAATGAAATAGGTATTTGTGGAAAAGGCAAAAGGAAATTACCATTTGCAACAGAAAATGCTTTGCAAGAGTGAACTATGAACTATTAAATGAAATGCGAAAGATTATTAAAAGAAGTTAACAAAGTAAAACCTATTACAACGATCAGTATTATCTATAGTAAAAATCTACTATAAAGGTTATGTCCTTTCTAATTTCCATCGTTTTAAACCATATTACTTCAGCTTGAACTTTTTTTTGTTAATTCGTCAGTTATTTATTAAGCGCCCACCTTAGCGAGTTAACACTATATGTAAGAATATCATATAAGTAGCTTAGCATAAACTTACCTCGGTCGATTTTGCATAAAATGCTGACCCCCAAATATGACGGCCATATAAATGCCGCAGTAGTAGAAGACCCATGTCCAGTTTTCCAGCATCCATTTGCGTGTGCGCTGGTGTATGAAATCGTTCTCGAAATCAAAGATATACGAATAGTTGGGCGTTACGCTAATGTCCATGTTGATCATTGTGCCGCTTGTGTATGGTGTCTGAGTAGGAGATTAACTGTGTGTATGTGTGGGGCTTTCTGTGATTGTGTGTGCGTGTGTTGGCGAGTTTCTACAGAGAGAAAAACAATAAAGGGCATTGATTATAGAGACTTCTTATGCTAATCAAAAATCACACTCATGCACAATTTCATTTTTTATTAAATTGTTTTTATTTTTCAAACTTTTGTATTCTTAAACTTTGACCCGCATTAGGAAAATAGAAAGCGCGCATAAATTTCTTGGCTTGCAGAGAGTGACCTTCCAGTTGGGTCCATTGATTTTGCATAAACACATCAAGTGCGACAGAGGGGGAGAGCAAGAGAGCGTGCCTGCTGCTCTCTTGATACACACACACATACACGCGCGCGAATGCAATCCATTCATGAATGGCTGCTGCTGTTTCTTCTTCTCTTCTTCTGTTTTGTCTTCCGTATTTCACACCTTCAACAGTCGCCTCCATGCACTTGTCGCATTAATGTTAAAAGTGGTAGGAGCTAAGTAGGAGGAGGAGTAAGAAGAGCAGAAGGAGGCCCACATTGAGGTAAGGCAAAAAAAAAACATGTGTAACAAAACGAAACGCGAAAAATATATTATACTTCAGCTGCGCTGCTGGCAGGTGCCGGGAAGGAAAAATAAACTAAATAACATGGAAAGACATACATATGTGCATACATACATATGCATGCGCGTATTTGAATGCTAATTGCATGCCAGACACGCGACAATTTGTCTACGCACACGAGCTCAGATACTTAGACACAACGCACACTCACTCAAACATACGCATACACTCACATGCGGTTACAGTCAGGTAATTTTTTTCATTTCATTTCATTTGAAAGCTTAGCTTTAGAGTATCATATCCGGTTTTTTTCGCGGCCCAACGCTTTCAAAATTTCTAGTGAAATTTTTTTTGCGGCAAAGGTTTTTACATATAAACATGCATGCATGCATATGTGAGCGCGTGAATGTGTGATGATACACAAGTGTGTGCGTGTTTGTTATGTTATCCCACCACCACCGCCCTGGCAAAAAAAATTAACAGACCAAACACCCGTTTTGCTACACACATTCATCTTCTCGCCCATTTCATCTTCTCTCTCTTATTTTATGCTGAGCGCGCCGACGTAATCGATAAAGTACACAAATACGATAAAAATACATGTGGCAAAAAAGCCAGAAAAATTTCCTGTTCACAGTTAATCGCACACAACACTTCAGCACTCTCTCATTAAATTCAATTACATATTTAGTTTTTTCTTTTCAAGTACGTTTAATAAGCATTTACTTTTTAATTTTTTTGTTTTATGCGCTTTCCAGCCTTAGATCACACGCGGTACACTTTTTGGTTTTCGTCCGCTAACAAGGAACTCTCTTTTCGAGCAGCCGGCGTTCCACTGAGCGCAATCGTCTCGCTGCTTGTGTATTTAAGTTTTTTATTTAAACAATTTTCAACGAACGAGCAGCAATAACAGCGCGTGCAGCCGATTCGTTCAGTGGTGATTATTGTTCTGTTAACCTTAACATTGTTGTTATTTTAACAGTTTCGGCTTTATTTGCAAATGTTAATGGAAACGATAGTTGTTATCGATAGTGACATCGATGGGTGTGCTTAAGCAGATGAAATTATGATGTATCCCTGGTATATCAGCTGATTGTAGTTATAAAAAATCGTGGCAAATTTGAACAAGTAATTTCATCAAAAAAACAAAAGAACTATTTATTAATGTATTAATTTAATAAGGTTTCATATATCTTTTAAAAGATGGAAATCGCTATGCCGAAATGCCGTAAGAAAAATAGAAAATTAAAGTTCTTGACAATATTTTATATTATTTATTACACAAATTACAAACAGTAAATAGCAAACAAAAAATATGCATAATTCGATGTATAAATCTATCTATTTAGTTTGTTAATATTACACCATACATATACATATATATATATATATATATATATATATATATATATATATATATATATATATATATATAGATATATAAATTTATTATTTATATTAGTTATATCAAATACTTCTATATATTTTGCTATAACTAAAAATTATTATTTCATTATTATTTTTTATACTACATAAACATTGACAGCTGGTGGAAACATTATGCAAAAGCATTCCAAAAAATAATAATAAATACATTAATATTTAATCCCATTTGCAAACATATTCAAAATGTTGTTTCGTTTGTGGCAGCAAGTGCAGCTGCCATAAAAATTTTCAAAAAATTTTAAATAAAACAAAAACAAGTGTGAAGCTTACAACGGGTGTATCAGACATTACGCAGTCTCCGTCTAAATTCAAGAGAAGACTCTTAGGCTGTTAGCACTTAACAGTGGCTCTCAAACTGTAAGCTAGGGATTGTGTAGGTTAAACAAACTGCATCTTTAGCAAATTTGAGAGATATAGAGTATATAACAAATAGTATTTTTAGTATATATTTAAGTAGCATGATGAATGTACATATGTATTTTAGCAGAGTAAATCTAGTGTTTAGTATACTCTTTCAATCTATACTTTACACTTATACCACACTGAAAGGGGAATATACTCTTATACAATACCATCTTCAACTATAAATGCTAGCGACCGCATATACCCGTTTGGGTTATTTAAACAGCGCACAAAAATGTGAAAAATAATTCCATTGGACTTTTTGAATGTCTGCTTCATATGGAATTAATATTGAATATTTTTGTATTTGAATTTTTTCCTTTTATCAGATTTGTTTGCTGTGTCCCTTTGTCACTTCACTTCATTTTGCATTATCAAATTTTTAAAATTTATTTTTTTTCATTCTGTGTTTGGGATTTGGGTGGAATTTCGGTCGCTACGTGAACCGCCAGCACAGCCAATTAAGCAAATTAAATAGATTGTTATCCTGTCCAGACAGCAGAGTCGGCAGACTCCAGATACTGCGCTTAATTCAATCAATGTGACAATAATTACTTAATTAATTAGGTGCTCTCGTTCGCTTGTTCGGCCCATGTCTGCTGCTGCGTCACACATTCAAATCGGCCATCATTTTGCGAAAATCATTCAGGGATCCATACATCTCAAAGTCTCCTCCCCCGCCACTTCCGTTGCCGCCTTTATGGCCATAGGCTTGTGTGTGGGCGCGTATGTGCGGGGGGCGCGGCAAGGTGAGCGGTATAGGTAACAGCTCCGGCATTACCGAATGATGCGTGATCAATGCTCGCAACGAACTGAACTCCTTGGTGAAGCCCTGCATGGAGGAGAAAAAGAGAGGGCAGTTAGATAAAAATACATAAATGGGAAATTTTCCCCAACAAAAATAATATTTATTTGCTTGTGTTCTGCTGCCTGTTGAAATTAGCATAGCTTCAGCAACTACAGCTTTCAGTTTGTTGTCTCATTTATTGGTGGTCATCTATCTACGCTAATCAAGTGAAATGTGGAGTTACCTTAATCTTATAGCCACGCTGTGTTCGCAATATCAAATAGTGAGCCACGCGTGGCGCAGGCGGCGGCACACGCAAGGATAGTGCAAAGCAGCCTGGCTTGGTGCTGCTCTGACGTACTAGGAAAGCGCCTGGACTCTGGCGGGATAATACCTCCAGTGAGATCTCCCTGGGTATGCCCGCCTGATACCAAGCGGCGCCCTTGAGTTCCTGCTGCTCGGCCAGGCTAAGGTTGTCTAGGCGCAAGGGTGAATTTGCAGCGAATAGCTTCGGACTGGAGTTGGCTGTGTCGGGAGAAACATAGAATAATATAATTAATCAGAAATTCACTAATTTTCTACTTATCGTAATTCTTACCGCTGCACGTTTCTCTCAAATATTTCTTGCTGTTGGGCAGCTCCGACTGTAAGTGTTGTGTGGCCGTTTCCAGAGCCGTCAGTGACTGGCGACAGGAGTCACCGAATTTGCTTGCCACATACTTGTCCGGCTCGCAGATGGCCTCGTTCACATAGCCATCGGAGATGGTTTGAGACGAGCCTGAATTCAGGGAGGAGGAGCAGGTGTTGTGCACCAGAGGGCGGCTATCCTCGGTGCCACGCAGCAGTCCAATGCCCATGGTGAGGCGCTTCACCTGAAATTAAAACGGGGCAGAGTTTATCGATAGTTTTGCATGACTGAGATTCGTGTTGGCTGCCAATTTGGGGAACAACGAGAAAACTTTTCGACGCAACGCAACGCAATAATTGCAATTTACTTCGCTTTCGGCCGTTGTGAAGCCATTTAACAGGTGAACTTGTTGTTGATGTGGTTGTTGTTGTTTTGAGCCTGGCCACAAAGCCAGCTAACAAGGAAATCACTTTAGTCGAGGAGGAGTGAAACAAAAGCAGAAGTTTTATTCAAGATGACAGGCGACGAAAAACCCTGTAAAAACCATTTCACGCAGACTCATACATGCATACAATGCATAAAAGTATGTTTAGGAAACTTTATGATCTATGCGTCAGATCTATCGAGTTATATATTGAAAATAATGCTTGTAACTTTAGTAGGTCTTTCACATTTAATGGAAAGGAAAGAGGTATAAGGAATCGACTTGTATTTGTATGCAACTAAAGATAGCTTAACTATCATTTAGAATTGTAATATACTAAATTCGGTAACAGTGAAAAACTTATCGATATTTATCGATATTTTAATAGCTTCTACTATAACAGGGTATACAACGGTAATGCTTCTCCAATATACCCTCCATTTGCATTTGCATGTGTTTACAGGGTATCACAGCAAGCAAACGCCTTAAAAATTGATGTGTTACATTTTTGGTTACCAATAAAATGTTAACTATGTCCCTACTCCCCCACTGAAGCCAGCTCCCGTTAAGTTCTCGAACCCCAGCTAGAAGTTGCTTTGGTTTTTGGGGCTGCGGTAAATTACTTTGAAATGAGTTAAAGCTAAAAGTTGTGCCTGCTTTTAGGGCGGCATTTAAAGCGTTTCCAATTAGTAAACAGCTCCGCTCAAGTGTTGACTGGCTGCCTCCCAGTCCGCCCCTTATAAGTAATTTACCTAATTTGCGATAATTATGTTGATTTTATGTAGCCAACGCAATTCGCATTTGATGTGGTATTTGGCTCAATGAGCTCAAAGCCGAACTAAGTCCATTTTATCAGACTCATGAATAACAAAATTATATAGTTAATATAATGAGTCTTTTATAGATATATAGTATTTATATATATACTGGATTAAGGTTACTCTTATGGGTTTCTTAAGGGCCAAGAATAAGAAAAGTAATAAGTGGCCAGCTCTCGACGCTTTGAATTCTTTGAACCGACCTCGCTAGCACACTGCGTCCAGGTTGTCCCCAATCGAAGCAACAGCAAACTAGAGCACTGATACTTGATATTATTCAAGCTACTTAAAGATAAAAGATTTCAAATTAAGATAGAATGCTCTCATTTTGATTGTAAGAATGTCCTGCTTGAAGCCAGCTGTGCATCATTTCGCAATTGCAGCTAATTGAATTGGCAGTCTGTGCTGCTTTATCGTTAAGCATGCAATCAGTGTCAAGGGGTAGTGCGAGGAGGTGGGTTTTGGATGGAAACCTAATGGCCCCATTATGCTAATGACATTGGAAAAGACTCTCGCAATATGCAAAATCCTCAACAAGACAATGCGCCCAAGTGGCAGTCGGCTGGCGATGCTCGACAAATCCGGCTGACAACTACTAGAAAAAGGCGTAAATATAAAAAATGCAATGCAACTTGGAGAATCGACAACGAGCAGAGTGAAGAAGAGCCAGAGAGGCAGTAGAGAAAGACGCTGCAGAGCGCAGGCAGGAAAGGTAGGCGTAGTGAGAACAATGGAACAATTGGGCTGAGGGCGTGTCCTAAGCTGAAAGCATTTGGTAAAGTACTGCCTTGCTATACCCTATAAGTAGTGAGTGTATAAGATAGGGATTGACCAACCAGTGCATGCATACAACTAATATTAGTTATATGCCCATGACTTGATCAGCAGTTTAGCTACAACTTTTATTTCACACTTGCATTTTATCATATTATTCAAAGCTTATGTTTGCTTGCAGGGTATTTTCAAGTGAACCACTCTCCTTAAGTGCATTCCAAGTTGTTTGCGCCGGCATTTGATTTGGTCCTTTCTCTCTGCCTTCTGTATATCTCTCCACTGACTCTCCACCTTTTGTCTGCCGCTCAGTTGGCAGAAAAGTTTTGTTCTCTGAAGCTGCAGCTGCAGCTGTCAGCTGTAGGCCTACAGTTATATTGCGCAAATATATGTATGTGTGAGGGAGTATGTTTGTGTGTGCGTAGAAAACAGGACACGTTATGCTAGCGACTGGATTTTGTCGGCATTGTTGCAGCGATTTATGTGTCATAAAGTCACTAAGTTAACGGCATTTGGCTGCCGTTCGCCTGCTGCAAGTTTTTCATTTCCCACACACACTTGCCATCTCACTCCCACCTCTACTCTCTCGGCAAGTGTGTGTGTGTGCGTGCGTGTGTGGGTGAGAGAATGCAGCAGAAAATGGCGCGTTGCACTTCAGTTTTCCAGTTGTTGTTGCTGCTGCTGGAATTGCTGGCGGCGCGTGCCAAAGTGCCGTTAGCTGGAAATTTGCATTTTTGCAAATTAATTTAATGAACGCTTTTGGGTCTTGTTTAGTGGCAAACATTTTTCGAGTACGCCATCGTTCCAAGCTGTTGGAAGTGCTTTGCTAAATTGCATTTGATTTTCAAGTGTTGCCAATTTGTTTGCCAGTTAAAGCTTTTATTATTATTACTTTTTCTCTTTGGTGCCGCCACTTAAACTTGAATTCAAGTGGCTTAAAGTGAAGCTGAACTAGTAGAGAGTTTAAGCGCATGATAATAGATAGAGTTGCAGTCTATTGATAGATTGATTGACTGACTGATGTATTTCATTTCAGACCCATTTTGCTTTAATATTTCATAACCCTGCGCTCTGACAAACATTTTGCCTAGTTTTGCCAACATTAATGATGTTTCCTGAAAGTTTTCCATCGCTCGCAACTATTGCTATTTGACTCCTCAAAGTATGCAACGATTTTTTGCTCCCTTTAGCCAATTTACTTCGCTTGGCAGCTGCATTGGCATTCAAATTCAATCGATTTATGCTTAGCAAACCAACGAAGTCAATCAACAGATTTAAGCATTTGGCCAGGACTAATACAAGTTGCACAAAAAAGGACACCGAACAATGCAACAGATATCTTTGATGCAGTCTGAAAGCAGTTGTGCACTTTCTCAACAGATTTTCACAAAATAGGCAAACAAAATTGATTTTATATGAGCCTCTATATCTATATATAATATATATTTAGTACGAGTATGACATCGTTTGTATATAATAGAAACGCTTCAAAGAAGACTTCATTCATTTTCTAAGTACTCAGGAAATACCCTAAAACCCATCAATGAAGGTTTTCGCTTAAGCTATCATCATTACAGTTAACTACTTTTCAGGCTCCAGCTTCTCCGCTCCTACAGCTTGACCATTAGTCAAGCAGCCATTGAAAAGACAATTGCTATTGCAGCTGTTATCCTCTAATATTGTACTAAACTAAGGGGTATGCTTACCAGCGGCGGTTTATCAACCAAACGACGACAATTATTCATTTCAGTTGGGGAATTGTCCTCCTCGGAGCTGGGCGAACGTGGCATCTGTTGTTCGTCCAGCTCTTGGCCATTGTGTTGGCTGTGTGCTGTGTGATGGCTGTGCAGCAGGTGCAGCTGCTCCACCTGATGACGAGGCGTGGCACGTGGCTGCACAGGATGCGTATGCGAATGCTGATGAGGATGCTGGTGGGAGTGAAGTTGATGTAGATGTTGATGTTGATGTTGATGTTGATAATAATGAGCTGTGCTGCTCGCCGTGGGTGCGCTGTAAGATAAGCTTTACTAGCTGTTGCATACTTGGGCGCAACTGTAATTTACCTGAAAGTAAGCTCAGGAAGCAGCTGAACTAGCTGCGAGCCTTTTGTTTCGCCAGTCTCAATGAGCGTTGTCTCCGCATTGGTCAGTGTTGACGGCGAAGATGTTGCTGCTGTTGCTGCTGTTGCTGGTGCTACTACTACTGCTGGGGAGTTGGAGAACGCGGCTGTATTATGTTGCGGTTCCAGACGTAGTCGTATATCCTGCATGGCCATGGGTGTCCAGCTAGAGCATCTGCAAAACAGTTAAAAGCCAAGTTGTTAAAGCCAAGGCTTGTTAAAAAGAAAAGTTTTCTGCCCAAAAAATGTTTTCACCATTCACATTGGTTGCTATATGGTCACTATAGGTTTAATGCTTATGATTTCTTGACTTTTTCTCTCCATACTTTCTCACTCTCTATATATCTGCCTCTTTCACACATATTGTGCGCCCTTTTGCGGTGTTTGTTGTCTTGTTAAACTTTTGCTTTAAGAGGCACTCAAGCTATGTGGGCTTAAAGGCTGCAAAACTTTTTTACCCACAACTTTCAGCTTATTGAATTTTCACACACACACCCATACACACACACATGTTTACAGTTTATAAAAGTTTTAATGCAATTTTAAGCCTTTGCTTATTAGTTGCAAATCGTTTCCAGATTTTCAGCATATTAATTTTAAAGCCAGCGCAGCGCTTTCTTCTCGGCGTAGCTGTTGCAAATTGGGTTAAGGCTGTGGCATAACCGCCAGTTGCTTATTTCGCCATAGTCCATATTCTTGCCGCATTTTGTGTTCATCTGCATTTAGGGCAGCCACAATGCTAGAGCTTTGGATTACAAAGCAACATTTACAAAAAGGATAAGTTGTAAAAGCCCCGAAGCTAGTTGAGTTTAGTGTGCTCGACTTAAATTTGCTCAGCGAATTGTTGTCAAAGCTGCTTACTAATATAACACTCAGGATAGCAGAAGCTGCAGAGCTGAGAATCGCGTTGCTTAATTTTCTCTTATAAGAGCATATGCGTAGTAAGATTTCAAGCTCTCGTAGTTAGCTTGAATGATATTCCAGCATTCGGCCAGTCACTCAACTGGTCGTAAAACTTAATGAAAGTCGTAGAAAAACATGCAGCTGAGCTTTGCATTAAAGAATGTTGCAAATCAAGTTGAGTTTAAGCAATGCAAATGCGATTTACGCTGGTTGTTGCTTGCTGCCACTGCTGCTGCTGCTGCTGTTCTGCATTTAACAAGTATACGCCATGTTGGCTGTGCATTAATTTAACAAACAACGGCGACGACTACGACAATGAGACACAAATGTGCTGACATTTTGGCAGCTCATGTAAAAGTTGTTTTTGCATAAGTTGCAGAATGTCAGCAGTGACAATGGCGAGCAAAAGCAACAATAGCAACAATCACAATCTCAGAAACAAAAACAACTCGCAACTGGCAACTGGTGACTGGCTTATCTCGCATTATAGTTGTCTTGGAATTTCTAGCTGAAGAGCTGGCACGCCGAACATGTTAATTTAACTTGTCATACACGAAATGCATCAGAATATTCTCTATGTCTTGCAATAACAAATGAAATAACAAATTAGTACCAAATTTCATAGCACGCTTTTGTGCGTCTTTTCCTGCTCTGTCGAATCTTTATAAAAATTCCTTCGCAAGATTTTTGTTGCCTTAAGTCAACTTTAAGTTTAGTGTAATAAAATCTTATTTTTGTGCTCAGACAAGTTTCTTTTATTGCACTTCTTGTTCTTGGCAAACAAAACAAAAACTTTTCATCTTTAGCTGCCTAAAGCAGCTAACAAAGACTCTTTAATGTTGAAATGTTGAAAAAAAAATTGTTTATTATACCCTGATCCCATTAAAAATGGGAAATCAGGGTATAATGGTTTTGTGCAAATGTATGTAACAGGCAGAAGGAGGCGTGGCAGACCCCATAAAGTATATATATTCTTGATCAGGACGACAAGCCGAGTCGATTGAGCCCTGTCCGTCTGTCTGTCTGTCCGTCTGTCCGTCTGTCCGTCTGTCCGTCTGTCCGTCTGTCCGTCTGTCCGTATGTGTGAACGCGTGGATCTCAGCATCTATAAGAGCTAGAGACTTGAAATTTTTTTTGTAGGTCCGTGTATAGCACGCGCAGGTCAAGTTTGTTTCAAATATTCGATAACTATTCGCATTTAATTGTTATCGAATAAAAACATTATTGAAATACAGTAAATAAATTATATCTCGAACATCTTAAGAGCTAGAGACTCCAAATTTTGTATTTAGTCTTATGTATATTTTATGCAATTTTGATTTTTGTTGGATTTTGGATACCGGATCCAAATTCCCCCAAATTCTTAGAATTTAAGTTTAGTTGGAACTAGGGCCATTATGTCAAGGCGTTTGCATCTCAACTAAGCCAATAGGATATGTAGATCATATGCTGAAAATTTCATTAAAATCCATTAAGTAAAACAGAAGTTATTAAACAAAACGTTTGGCCAATTTGCAAAAGCACATGTCAGCAGCGCCACGCGCACGCATTTTTCCTATGCATGTGCACACATTCATTCAAATGCGTGTATTCTTTTCTATTCCAAGAATTGAAATTGCGATTGAATTGTGCTGAATATTAGCTGCTACTTATGTTCAAATATGCAACAGTCCATGTAAGAAGAACGGTGGCGGCGTTGGTAGAGGCGCCGCTCGCATGCAGCTTGGTTCGGGTTCGACACCAGTGGAGATGAAGTGTTTTTTATTGTTTTATTTTTTTTTTTTAGTTATGAAGTGGCGGTGTTGGTAGAGTTTGTGCACGTTGCGTAAATAATCCGGGTTCGAATCCTGGTCTCGCAATGTCGATTTTTATTTGTTATTATTTAAATATTATTTAAATGAGTTTGTAATAACAAAACTCAAAGGACTGGGATCAGGGTATCTCCTAGTCGGGCACCCCGACTAGAGCTTTCTTACTTGTTTTCTTTTATCATAGGTTGGCCGGGGGATTTAAATCATTAATATATAACATATATATAGTTGGGCTTCTGTCAGTTTCAGAATGACAATTTCAAGTCGCAATATTTGTCTGTCTCTGTTGTCCTTGAGTTTGATTGAGAATTATAACGAGCTTTAGTTAGTTTAGCACATCTCATCTGATCTCATCTCTTATCTTGTTTAAAGCACTGGAATGAACAATTCATTCAGTTGCCTATATGTCTAAGACCCTGATTGACAAACTGATTGATTGACAGATCTATAAAGCTGTGAGTGTACGTTGTAAACAATTAAGTACAGATTTTTTATTTTTTATCTAATTCACTGAGCTTTGTAAGCACTAAATATTCTTATACTTCTCACTTTCTTATTCATTCTCTCTTTGATGGTAACTTAATTCCAGTTTGGCTTATTTTTATTGTCTTTCGCTGCTTTCAGCGAGTCATTGGATACAATTGAAATTTACCTTTATATGCTGTTTGCCCCAGCTCCTAGTCAACTTGCTGTTTGTTGTTATGAGTGCCCTCATATCCAAGGGCTTAGCTACTATATGCTCTTGCCTATACGTTTCTATATGTGTGTGTGCACACACACAGTTGCTTGTTAGTTTATTGAAATTGATATTATGCGAGAGCTGCTGTCAAGTTAACTCTATAAAGACGGTCTGGTCTGGTCTCTGGTCTGTCTCTGTGCTTCAGTCCTTGTTTTGTCTTTGGCGGTGGCACTTTTATTTCTATTTTCCATAGAGATTTTGTTACGAAATTCATTGTTAAATCGCTTGGAAATATATTTTTGGATAGAGCGAAGACACTGCTGTGTCTGCTTGATTGCCATATGAAAGTGTCTCGTGTCTCGTGTCTCTTGTCTGCACTTTTGTCTTCTTATCGTCTATGTATTCTTGTATTATGCCCATTAAAGTGGATCAGAAAGGGTATACACATTTGCTTAATGTAGTTCGATATGTGTCATATGATATTCAAAAATATTTCTTTACTCTTATTTATTATTAAGAGCTCCTCTATGTGATTTTCTCATACATTATATTTATTGTCTTTTGAGGCTAACAGGAAGTGCCTTGTTTTATCAATCGTGCACAGAAATTGTTGTATGTAGATCGCTTCGTGACCTCTCAATGCGAATATCACAAGTTCATATACCATTTTAGTCTTATTTTATAGCTATCCCTCTATAAATTATTATACTCTCTTCTCTTACATTCCTTCACTCTTACTTTTATGAAGTTTCTAATCCCTTTCTATGCAATTCTCATTTTTTCTCGTTATGGTCTCAGTGTAGTTTTCCCATAGTTTCTTCTGATCATTATTTTTATTAAAAGACAGGGTATATCTCAGTCAGCTATGCTCAGCGTTTACACTCTTATTTATTTGCTGTGCTCGTTGAGTTCATATTTTCCTTTGACTTTTATGCATTTGTTGAAATTCAATCGCCAATTGGACACATGGTGCCCTGTGCGACTCTCTTCAAGCGCTTTAATCAATCGGCTGTTGCATGTGCCACAAAAAATAAACAACAACAACAGCGACATAAAATGTCAACAGTCTTTGAACTTTTGGGTTTCGGATTTGCCTCCTGGGTGGCCGATGCCGCTGCCGCTGCTGCTGCTGCACTGTAATAAAATACGTAGTGCTTCCAACAGACATTGCCTGGGCGATAACTAACGGTTCAGTTGATCATTGACCACGTTCTATGTGGGAATCGGGATTGTTTGCTTGGATGCCTGCATGGGCTGGCTTTCTGCCTGCCTGTTACGTGACAATCCGCAGCCCAGTTTCATGTGCCGACATGTGGCATGTTGCAGTTACAGTAGAAGTAGGCGCGCCCTGGCCCAAGCTCCCAGCTCCAGCAGCAACAATAACCACAATGTGACTTTAAATGTGCGCCGCTCTTGGTTTGACATCGACCAACACTGGGCACAACAATGAGACGACAACAACAGCAGCAAATTTAATGCACAGGGCTACGCTCCTTGTTCCACCTTAAATTTATGAACTCCAATTGAGAAGTACCTTATTTATATGAGATGTGAAATTAAATGACCCAAAACATTGTGTCTACATTCTCTGACTAATCATATTTAATTTTTAGTTTAAAACAAGACTTTGCTCAACGATTTATACTATATTCCTCGTCTTATATGCTATAGCCTGCAATAATTATCAATTAATATTTCTGATCCAGCCATGCACATTCATCAATCTCATTGTCAGTGTCTGGCAAGAGCAATGCTGAAATTTATGTAGCCTTCACGCAAGTC